ATATGATGTTAAACTTAATCAATGTTGGGAGCTTGGGATAATGTGATTTGTCCATTTCACAAATAAACTAATTTTATTAGTTGTAGTGGAGATAGTGTTTTATGAATTAATTCATCAATTTACCTAGTAAATTATGTTAAAGTTGAATTTAATTATATTAATTTTGTGAAAAATTAATTAATTAACAGGACTAACTAAGCCTAGGCCTCTATACAATGGAATAATTAATCAATTTACCTAATAAATTATGTTAAGATTAGATATAGATATATTAATTTTATGAAAAATTAATTAATTAACAAGGTTGATTAAGCCTAATCAGCTAAGCATTCATATAATTAAATAAGTAATCAACTTACCTAGTAAATTATGTTAAGATTGAATTTAGTTATATTAATTTTATGAAAAATTAATTAATTAACAAGGCTAACTAAGCTTAAGTCTCTATACAATTGAATAATTAATCAATTTACCTAATAAATTATGTTAAGATTATATATATTATGAAAAATTAATTAATTAACAAGGTTGATTAAGCCTAATCGGCTAAGCCTTCATATAATTAAATAAGTAATCAACTTACCTAGTAAATTATGTTAAGATTGAATTTAGTTATATTAATTTTATGAAAAATTAATTAATTAACAGGGCTAACTAAGCTTAAGTCACTATACAATTGAATAATTAATCAATTTACGTAATAAATTATGTTAAGATTACATATAGATATATTTAATTATGTTCAGGGGAAAATCCCCACGGGATGAATTTCCCGTGAAGCCTCGTTGACTGGGCCGAGCCGGGATGGAGATGGGAGTGATTTCATCCCCTTGGGTCGGGGACGATCATGAGAGTTGTCCCCGCCAGTCGAGGATGGTCATGAGAGTGGATATCGAGGACAGGGAATGGGCTCCTTGGCCCCGACCTAGCCCGCAGCACCCATCTCTAGACTGCTAAGTACACCCTCATAGCTAGTGGCGGATCCAGCCACTTTTTGGCCCACCCTCAAATTTTTTTTTTAAATATTAATATGTAAATTTATATATTTTAGCCCACCCTAAAAAAAATATTAATGGACAAAAATAGTAATGTATAATAAATTTTTATTTTGGTCCACCTTAAAAGAAATTTCTGGATCCGCTACTGCTCGTAGCCTTGGACGATATGTACTGATCACATTCCCTTTGCCATGGCGCATGTTAATTCCTTGCTTCCTATATTCACACTTTTGATATTTTAATAATTAATAACTAATAATGGTTTTATATTGTTGGATTGCTATCATAATTCATGAACTACCCCTGCTGTAACTCTCATATCATCGATAAGTTTTGCGACTTCACGTAATTTCCTCACATGATATCCTTGGACGTTAACTCCGTTAATTGCTGTTAATACCAGAAGACATAATTAAAATTTTCACTAACTACAGACACGTGATCTTACTCTTATGACATAACTACAGACACGTGGTCTGACTCCACACTGCAAAACAAAACTGGCACTTTCAACTTAAAGCCACTTCAAGCAATGTAGTCAAAATGCCCACTTCTGTAATTTTGTAATTGTTTAATATATTTTTTTTAATTTTCTCAGTCGCCATATAACTGGGAAATTTCAATCAAGGGCAATTTACTAATTGTACAAAAAGTAAACATTTATTTTAACGGTAACTAATGGAACTAGGTTTATATATATACACACACAACTGCTACTGATAGGAAGTGACAAAATTACATATCTTGAATTATAGAAATTAATTGCATGCCGCACAAGGCACAACAGAACGAAGTAAATTACTCCACGTCAAAAGTAGAAAATAAATTATCATACACAAGAACATTTTGGGGCAACTTGATGCGATGAGACCTAGCTAGTAATCTTTAAGGACACCATTAAATGAACTTTTGTTGTTCTGTGTTGAAAAGATTCCAAAGGTTAACGTCAAGCCATAAATCAGTGGGCAAAGTCTGGCCTACTTCATAAAAAATATTGTTCTCTTCCCCCTTTGTTGTCCCCGGTGAAGAATTTTCCTCCAAAAGGTTTGCCATAGGCATAACCTCCTCTTCTTGCCGACCCGAAGAGCTGGAAGCACCTTGATCAAATTCCTTTCCACTTAACACGTTTTCCCACCACACACTTTCACTATCCTGTGGATCCAATGTTGTAGATGGCTGGCAGAGAGAATTGTCTTCTGATTGAACAGTGTTCTCAACAATACTTTTGTCCTTCAACCATCTTATGTTTTTGGAGAAGGCCTGAGGACGAGGTCTAATAATGTTCACAGTTCCAGTCTTTCGGCCCTTTTCTTTGATATATTCGTTGCAAGAAACAGTCTTTTTTCGCAGGTGCGTGTTCCAGTAGTTCTTCACATCATTCGCTGTTCTTCCTGGAAGCCTACCTGCAATCAGTGACCATCTGCACCAAACGATAAAACATTTGTGATAAGAGATCCTTTTACGTATATGTTTAACTTTATGGAATAATATTATTAGTTGTTTTGAGAGTTTTAAAATAATGTTTTCTGGATTATTATTTAATCCAAACTATTAATTATATATAAATAACACTATATATATCAAGTTCGTACACAAAGTGACATAACACAAAATGTATGAGTGAGTGAAAATAAAAGATCAATTCGTTAATAAAGAATGAATGAAATGTAAATTAATGAATAATACCACATCACTTTATATACTTGATTTTATATATAAACTTTGTATGTATAATAATAGTTAATATATATGAGGGTCGTGTGTGTATATATATATATATATATATATAGATTTATAAGGAAGTATATCAGTTGGCTTTTTGGAACCATTAATGAGAACGGAAAGTCTGTTAAAGTGACTTAAATAAGCTGTGAATGTGTACCATACCAACCAAAGTAATAGGTAGGAGCTGCCACGTCACTCTATGATAGAAGTAATATGGCTATCATCAACTTGACAGATTCAGGTTTTATCTGTGAGTGATTGAGGGCCGCACACCTATCCAAGCCCTACGTCATTTGAAGATATTTTCTAAGTTACCAACCAATGGGAGGCAAGGAATGATTTGCACGGCACCCACCCACTTGCGGATTTGTAATCATCACCTTGAATTCCTCTAATATAAATAGAGAACTCCCCCTCTCATTTTTGGGACTCTAATCCTGAACTCTTATTCTGATTGTAATTTTTATTTTCAAAGCAAAGATAACCCACGAGAAAGAGACTGACTTGATATTCTCTCTGAATATTTGGTTGTTGTACCTTTGCTCATTGTTCGCTATACGTGACCTCTTGTAATCTCTCATATATAAAAAAAAACAGTGGACGTAGGATTCGTTTTAAGCATCCGAACTACTTTAAAAATCTTATCTCTCGTTTATTATTCAGTCTTCGTATTTGATCATAATCATTCATGTGTAATTTCTAAGAGCAGCTTAGCACTTTGTATGTGCGAATTGTTGGTGTCAAAATCAGGCATCAACAAGATGTAAACAATATTCGAAAGTCGAATTTGATGGCAAAGGCAGAAAAGGGAAATAAAATTAAATTTAAGTCAAGACTAGGATATTAAAAACCCAGAAAATTATGATGTTTTCTCATGATTACAGCACACAAGTTACGAATAATAACAAAGTAGGGAACTCTTAGTTATTAATGATCACTTGCCTGTTGCCTAGCAGCTTATGGAGCCTCAAAATTAGTTCAACTTCATCTGCTTCAAATTCTCCTCTCTTGATATTTGGTTTGAGATAGTTCAGCCACCTCAACCTACAGCTTTTCCGGCATCTATTTAAACCTGAAATTAAGTTTAAGAAAAATCAGATTATGTAATTAAAATATATTATGTTGCATTTTCGAGAGGCCATATTGTAAAATGCTAAAATACCTGCTCTTAGAGGAATTTGATGCCATTTTTCTTCACCATATTTCTCAATGCACTTCCTCAGAAGATTATCTTCCTCTTCTGTCCATGCACCTTTTCGAACCCCCAAGGGTATTTCCATACTTACTGGGCAAATTAAATGTTATGCCAAACTGTTATACGCACGTGAACTTAAGAGAACTTCTTGTTAAATTTCAAAGCCTCCCAACGGCTTATAAATAGGCGCTTTTCCAGTTCTTGCTACGTCGAGGCTTCTAAAGCTATTGACGTTGCGTATCTTTTGTCCACAAGCATATCATATATTTTTTATATTCATCGTTCAGAAAATAATAGCAGTCTTTTCTCAACTATAAGTCAACGACTAATCCAACAATTTCGATCCGTTGAATAACATGGTTCTATGTACATTGTACATAGCGAAAGTTTTTTCTTACTACGATGTTGAATTTGAGCAGGATTTGAGATATATCAAGGACAAAATGATCATGGCAACCATTTACTATGTGGAATTAGGGAAGAATAATTCGAGTGAATTAGGTGTCCTGATCGTAAAAGCTGATGGTAAAAGAACAGTAAAGCTTTGAGCTAAAATTAGAAGAGAGGAAGAGAGAAAGACAGAGAACGAGAAAAATCTAGAAACAAAATTTCAGGTTTTTTTATTATTTTAACTAACTGACAAAATGTACAAGTGCTTCTCATTTATACAAAATGGAGCTGAAGTCAAGTTGGGAGTAACTAACTAAGCTGTGAATAATTGATTGTATAGTCAAACGTTGGTCAACTATCAGTCTTACTAACATCGTCCCTTAAAGTGGACATCCATAAGACACTTTGACTACCTTGCTAACTGTTGACCAAAGCTAAAATGAGTGAAAGAGGGTAAAGTTATAAATTCCACTTCCACTTGTCCCTGTAACGGTGTCGTTTTGACTCTCTCTCATTTCATATAAAAGAGAGCAGTCTTCCTTTTGTATCAATTAGCAAAAGCAGAAATAAAATACTATTACTCAGATTTTCTCTACTTCTTTTTTCTTTTCTCTTTGAATCTCTCATGGTATCAGAGCTGAAGACACACGTCTACAGCTAAGAATCTTGGCTCTTTGTTTCAAAAAAGTGTTATGGAGAAACTGGCAAATCTCAGCTCAACTCAGGTTTCAATTTTTTCGTCCACTTTGCAAGTAATCACACCGAAATTGACCAAAAACAACTACAAGGACAACTATAGGTTCTGGCGATCTCAAGTTCTCTCAGCCGTTGGAGCTCATGAACTAGAAGACCATCTAACAGGTTCAATTCCATGTCCTGATCTTATAATTGTCTCTGATAATGATAGCTCAAGTCAATCAAGTGAAACCCTAACTAAGGAAAAAATCAATCCAGCTTATGTAGCATGGAAGAAGACTAATAAATTTCTTGTTACTTGGCTTCTTGCGTCAATCTCTGAGTGTATGTTTAGTAATATCTCTAAATGTCAATTTGCCACTGAAATTTGGTATAATCTTTAACATGAGTTTGTTACTGACTCCAAAGCAAGAGCACTTCACCTAAGGAATTTACTTCAAACTACTCAGAAAGGAAGTATGAATGTTAGTGAGTTTGTCAAGAAAATGAAGAGTTTTGCTGAGAATCTGTCGGGAAGTGGTCAAGTGATAAGTGATGAAGATCTACTTCAATATGTGTTAGATGGCCTTGGGCCAGAGTTTGATGCTGTCGTAGTCAATCTAACATCTCGAATTGAGTCTAAATTTGACTCAGTGTCTCTGCAAGAAGCTCAATTTCTGCTCCAGAAATATGAGATGAGACTAGAGTAAGTTTAATAACGTTGATTTTCGAAAAAGTTCAGTGCATATGGCATCTCTCAGTAATCCTAATGTTTCACCGTTGCTGTCTATTGGTACAAAGGGATCTTTATATCCTAATGATGTTGCTAGAGGTCTCCACACAATGCACAATGTACCTGCTCTAACGAATACTCTGCCTCTAGCACCAGTTCATTCTTCATGAAATTATTCATCAGCTTACTCAGCTTATCCATTAGCACCACCTGCTTATTCAGCTCCAACTTATCCAGCCTATTCCTTCCCTGTTTCACACACTGATTCACTTTTTCCCTCTGCACATCAGGGTCATTTTGGAAGACCTATTGGTCCTGCCTTTCCAATTTATAGAGCATCTGGTTATAACTCCTTTGGCGGAGGTCGAGGCAAAGGTGCTAGCAGAGGCAAACCAGTGTTTCAAGTATGCAGCAAAGTTGGCCACACAGTGGCACAATGCTATCATAGGTACAACTCAACCTATAATGGGGTTCCACCTGCTCAATCTCAGTTTGGTGGCACTCCTGCTCAATCTCAGTTTGGTGGCACTCCTGCTCAATCTCAGTTTGGTGCCTCAGCAACTCAGTATGGAGGTCCTCATCCTCAATTTACACATTATGGGGATCTTGGTTCTCGCTCAAGTTTTGGACTTACTGGAGGTGTTTCATTTGGGAACAATCTGTCTCATGGACAAGGACATCATGGTGTCTCTTTCTCCTCCACTCAACAGCAACCTTCATCATAGTCTAGCCTTCCTATCCCAAGCCAACAACTAAACTCACCCACTCCTAACCAAGCCTACTTTGTATCCCATTAAAATCCATCACTAGCTCTCAACTCTCTCGTCCTTATGCCTATTTCAACCAACACACCACCTGATCCAGCCTAGTACATGGATTCAGGAGCTACTGATCATGTTACTAATGATCCCCATCACTTGGTAGCCAGCAGAAACTATGATGGTACTGATCAATTACAAGTCGGTAGTGGTGAGTCTCTTAACATCTCCCATGTTGGTTTTTCTTTATTACCTAGTGCTTTACACTCTAAATGCTTGTATTTAAAAAATGTTCTATGTGTACCTAGAATAACTAAAAACCTTCTTAGTATCTCAAAATTTACAAAAGACAATAATGTGGTAGTAGAATTTAACTCTGACTACTGTCTTGTTAAGGACAAGGATACCAAAACAGTGCTTCTACAGGGAGGTCTTAAAGCTGGCTTGTATTAGTTGCACGTTCCTTCTAATTTGCCATCTTCTCCTGTTCCTGTTCATAATTCACCTAAGTACATTGAGCAACTAGCTCCTAACAGTCTGCATCCTCAAGTCTTTAATTCTGTACTAGATAACATGAATCTTACCTCTAGTGTCATTCCTGAATGCAAATTGCCAAATACTGATGATAATTGTAACTTGGGAACCATTGATTTCAACCCACAAGCATGGTCCTTCGATAATGTCTCTAGTTGTAATTCCAATTCAATAAATAAAACTGTTCCTGATCACAATGTTATCAATAATAATTCTGATTGCAATCATGATGATTGTCTTGTGCTACATTCTGAATTGTCCAAAGTTCATGCTAATCATTATGACTATGATTCTAATGTTTGCACTGTGCTATCTTCTGAATTGTTATCTGCTCACAATAATTATAAAACTGACCATACTAATGATTCTACTGTGTTATCCTCTAAATTGTTACATGATCACATCAATAATAATTCTGGTCAGATCATGCAGCTTAATGTGTCATTTGCTTTACACACTAGTAGCACTACTGCTGATATATCCCTTTGGCATAATAGATTAGGTCATCCTCATACTAAGGCTCTTCATAAAATCTTGTCTCACATTCATGTCAAATTCACAGAATCTGCCTCTTCCTTGCCTTTTTGTGATGCATAAAAATTAAGCAAGTTACATAGGAGTAGTTTTCCTCTCTCACAATCCAGAGCCACTCAACCCCTTGAACTTGTTCATAGTGATGTTTGGGGACCAGCTCGAATTGCATCTATTGAAGGTTTTAGGTATTACATCCATTTCATTGATGATCATAGTCGCTTTACTTGGATATTTCCTTTACGAACAAAAGCTGAAGTTAACTCCACATTCATTAGTTTCACCATTTAGTTGAAAGACAATTTAATAAAAAACTCAAGTGTTTGCAATCTGATCAAGGGGGAGAATATAGAGGTTTAGTGTCATATCTTACTAAAGCTAGTATTGCCTTTAGACATTTTTGTGCTTATGTACATTAACAAAGTGGGAGAAGTGAGAGAAAACATAGACATATAATTGAAACTGGTCTTACTTTACTTGCTCAAGCATCCATGCCATTGCAATTTTGGTGGTTTGCCTTTGAAACTGCTGTCTTCTTAATAAATAGAATAACATCTTCAGTTTTGCAATTTATCTCACCTTATCAAGCTTTGTTTAATAAAATTCCCTTGTATGCTTCGTTAAAAGACTTTGGTTGTGCATGTTTTCCCTACTTGAGAGATTTTAGTAAACACAAACTAAATTTTCACTCCTCCAAATGTGTGTTTGTTGGTTATAGTCTCATTCATAAAGGGTATAAATGTCTCACTACTGAAGGAAAAATCATTATTACTCCTAGTGTTCAGTTTCATGAAACTCAATTTCCATTTGTCACAGGTTTTCCTAATGGTTTTCAGTCTAATATTCATAAAACCTCTAGTCATACATCTTCTTACACTTCACCATCCAGTTATCCTTTTGTTTTTATAAACTATGCAACTAATTCAAGCGGCAAAGACCCTTCAACAGTGCCCTGTTCTTCACCTTGCACTTCTACAACAGTTGGTAAGCAAATTCCTTACTCCACTGCTCCTGTTTTCAACAAATCTCCTGGTTTGTTACATAATTTTAACTTTGCCTCTGTTTCACCATCTTTATCCACCTCCCAAACACAATCTCACAAATCTCAAACACAACCTACACAACCTCCTATATGTACACAATCTCACAAGTCTCCAACACAACCTACACAGCCTCCTATATGTATCTCAAATTGTCCAGTTAATCCTCTAGTCATGGATCTTACTTGTTTTCCATCTATACCTATCAAATCCATGCCCTCAACCACTTCAACTCAATCCCAACTTCCTCTGCCTCGTGAGAACACTAACTGCAGTCTTGTAATTGATTTGTCATCTTCTCAGTTTCCTACTTCCCAATCACATCCTTCTACCACTACATCTACAACATTAAATACACCAGCCACCTATCCCTCATCTGCCAATATCCATCGCATGATCACCAGAGCTAAACTTCCTGATCAAAATAAAGCCAAACCTGTTGATCTAGACAAAACTGTCCTAATAGTCTCCATACCTTCTTCTATTCAACCTGAACCTACCTCAGTAAGTGAAGCCCTTACTTGTAAAGAGTGAAGAAAGGCTATGCGTGATGAGTTCACTGCCCTTATGAGAAATGAAACATGGAGTCTTGTTCCTAAGACCTCTAACATGAATATTATTGGGAATAAGTGGGTTTTTCGAACCAAGTATCATGCTAATGGTTCATTACACAAATATAAAGCCCGTTTAGTGGCAAAGGGCTTTCAACAAACCCTTGGTTTAGACTACTTTGAAACACTCAGTCCAGTGATCAAACCTTCTACTATTAGGATCATCTTTACTCTTGCTGTTTCCAAAGGATAGGATATCCAACAAGTTGATGTAAACAATGCCTTTCTCAATGGTATTCTGAGTGAAACAGTCTATATGAGTCAGCCTGCTAAGTTTGAGCATCCTCAGTTTTCTTCTCATGTATGTAAACTTAATAAAGCCTTGTATGGTCTTAAACAAGCACCGAGAGACTGGTTTGACAAACTCAAGCAAGCTTTGTTGAATAGAGGATTCCATAATTCAGTTTCAGATCCTAGTCTCTTTATTCATAAGGAAACAAATTAGGTTTTTTACATCCTCATTTATGTAAATGATATACTTATTACTGGATCCGACAATGCTTCTATTTTACAACTTGTAGTAGATCTAAACAATGAATTTTCTTTAAAAACACTTGGGTCTGTGAGTTACTTTCTCGGTTTAGAAGCAACTAGAAATGCAGAAGGTATACACTTGAAGCAAACTAAGTATATTGGTGATTTGTTGATCAAAACTAAAATGCAAGATGCTCATGCTTGTCCAACTCCCATGGCTACTGGTACCAAGCTTTTCTCCCCTGATAGTGAGTTGTTCAAGGATCCTAGTCTATATAGAAGCACCATTGGAGCTCTACAATAGTTAACTTTGACAAGACCAGATATAAGCTTCACAATTAACAAGCTCAGTCAATTCCTTCAAGCTCCAACTAAACTTCAATGGCAGGCCTGCAAAAGGGTATTATGGTATCTTAAAGGCACTCAGTTTCATGGATTACAATTCAAACCAGCAGTTGCCCTCTGTGTTGAGTGCTATACCGATACAGATTGGGGAAGTAATCTTGATGACAAGAGGTCTACAAGTGGGTATTGTATTTACTTAAGAACTAACCTAATTCAATAGAGCTCTCGTAAGCAAAAAGTTGTTGCCTTGTCCTCAATAGAAGCTTAATACAGAGCCCTTGCACAAACTGCAACTGAATTACCTTGGTTAGACAGCCTATTTTTTGAGCTAGGAATTACATTAACTGCCACTCATGTGATTTGGTGTGATAATCTTAGTGTAGGAGCTTTGGCAGCTAATCCTATATTTCATGCTACAACTAAGCACATTGAAATAGATACACATTACATCCAAGATCAGGTTCTAGCCAAGAAAGTCACAGTGCAGTATGTTCCATCAAAATTGCAGATTGTTGATGTGTTAATGAAGTCTTTGTCAGTAGCTCAATTTCAGGAGTTGAAACAGAAACTCAATGTTGTTGAGGTGAAGATTTTTGCTGGGAAAGTCTTAACTGAAACCTGCTCTTTTCTTCTACTATGAATTTTGTGTGCTTTTATCTGAATTGCTGAATTTGAGAATTGTTG